GAAACTTTTTCCTTATGCGCAGGGCTCGACAGTCGAGCCTCGACTCACTATTCGCAGCATCTCTTGAATTGAACTGCTTACATTAGAGCCTTGTATACCGGAACTACCTCGGCAAGGTATGCATGAAAACTCCGTAACGCAAGTATTCAACCATCATATTGAAATGTGTGTTCTACATCGATATTCGAACTCGACCAGTCCGAAAGGAGAAACAGCAGAGCTCTGCGGGAGATGCTGCGTTGCAGAACTTTTTCCGAGTATAGTTAGATTGTTCTTGTGAATGACAGCTATAGCGACTACATGAGTGAGAAGACAAAAAAGACCTTTCGCATGTGCGTGGAATAGATAGAACAAGAATCAGTTGGCTCAAGCATTATGATAGGCTGGGCAATAACCTAAGTCAGCGAACTGCGGATTCATCCTTACATGAGTCCAGTTCTTGATGCCGACAATTTCCTTGTGAACAGCCGCTCTCTCATCGAGATTCCGAGCCCACATATTGAAATGCTTATGCGGGGGTATAATGTAGAACTGGCGAGGTAAAGAATCTGATCCGAGTTGGGCAGCCGAACCGATGTTCCACGTGTACCGGACCCTTGCACTGTTCGGGAAGGGCATCGGCTTGTTAACCCAAGTTTTGATACGCCTCTTCGACCAGTCAGACTCACCAAACGTAGCCCAGTACCCGAGATGGCTGGCAATATTCAACAGAGGGGACACGTCATCATATTCCAGAACGTTTCCACCACCAAAAGAGGCAACATCCATCGCCTGATCAGCCAGACCACCGAAAGTGAAAGCCGTTGCAGCTCCTGTGAGCTGTAGAGTCTGCGTAAATAACGAGCAAGCAGAGCCACAGTTACCATCCGTCACAAAAGCGACATCTGTCCAATAATTCGGGTCATAACTCGACCCTTTGATGATTTCGGTAGAATAATCTCCAATACGTCATAGCAGAAACCGAAAACACTTGTAGCGGAGTAGTTTGAAGGCTCGCCCCATGGA